AGTTACAAACTTGCAGACTTGGGGCTGGATATAAAAGAATAAATCTCAGTGGTTACATGAGAATGAGTCTGTGGGGGTACCATGGGCATAAAGGTAAAAGAAGAACGAATAAAACTCGAGGCTAAATGCAGAGTACTAATAAACTAATATTTACTGAGCATTTTCTATGGTGCCCAATTCTATGGTAAATACTTTATATCCATTAATCATATTTAAACCTCATTATAACCCACTGAAGAGAGGATAAGTAGTGTGCCCAAAATTTCACAGTTGTAAAGTGATAGAAATGAGTCTCATTTCCAGGTCTGTTTGACTCCAAAGTCCATGGTCTCAATCACCAGGCTCCACTGTGTCCTGGAAAGAAATTACCCAAATCACTGAAACCTGTCTCTTGGTTCCAGGTACCTCAGCCAGCCCAAGCTGAAAATCTACTTTCCCATTATTTATAGGTTTTCTGGGAAGAAGTGTTACAGCATTTCTCTGTAACCTGTTCGAGTGTCTTAACATCTTCAGCCAGGATGTTCATCTTTGTGTTTAATCGAGTCCTCCGTCATTAGACCAAAAGCAAACCAACCCTGTTGCCGCTGAGTCGGTTCTGACTCATAGTGACCCTATTGGACAAAGTGGAACTGCCCCCATAGGGTTTCCATGGAGCAGCTGATAGATTCCAACTGTTGACCTTTTGGTTGGCAGCCAAGCTCTTAACCACTGCGCCACCAGGGCTCCCCATCATTAGCAGATGAGCTAAAAAAAAAAAAAAAAAAAACCAAAAAAACAAAACATTAAAACCTGTTGCAGTGAGGTCAGTTCTGACTCATACCAACCCTATGTGTATCAGAGTAGAACCATGTTACATAGGGTTTTCAATGGCTGTTTTTCAGAATTAGATTGCCAGGACTTTCTTCCAAGGTGCAAATGAGCTTAGGACTCCATTTATACTTATAATTTCAGTTGAAGCAGGAGGCTGCAGAAATTGCTGCAATACAAGTCATTAACTTTAAGTATTCTGGTGCCTCTCCTATTTGTCTGAGGTTTCTCAGGTTTTTATCTAAGTGTAGTCTGGAGCCAGATGAAGAAAGATTAATGAGGGGACATGCATTGATCAAGAAACAAATGTTCTTTAAAGAGATTGGGCAACGGATTCATGCTCATTAAGGTGCCATTGCAGCAGACCATAGAATATATATATCGTAACATGAAGCTGTGGTCTAGCTGAGGAAAACTGCAAGAAACAAATCTGGTAGACATGGGAAATAGAAGCAGGAAATTGTAGCAATGTTATGCTGAAGTTTTGCAATAGACTTCTCTTCTTGCCATTTTGTCTAAACAAACTGAAACCAGGTCAAAAATATTTAGCACCTGCTATGAACTCATTTCTTCTTTCCTTTTTGGTGCATGTGACTGTATGATTGGACAATCCTTGATTTCGAAAGCAGTGCCGTGAGAACCCAGAACATGGGTCCTTCTTGTTCAAGAGCCTGATCTCAGTCCTCAAAGTTGCAGCCAAGATGTCTCAGACTGCTGAGCTGTGGAATGGGAGGTTTTAAAGCTATGATCCTAGAGAGATAATGACATGGGCTGATATAGGAGAATTGCAATTAGACTGGGAATTAAGATGCCTCCTCCAATATTCCTTTCGCAATCTTGGCAAAGCCACGTGGGCTTTCTTGGTTATGTGCTGACCACTCAGAAAATGAGAAAAAAAATCTATGGCTCCTACCTCACTGTCCTTAGACAGAAGTTTGGAGGGCTATGTATAGAATAAAGACTAATGGAAAAGCTCCCAGCGCAATTCCTACATAAACAGCTCCCTGAAAGATGCCACTGAAGCTTTTAAGGGATCTGGAGGCTGTCTCCAAAGACCATCTCCATTTTTCATTTCTCTTCTTGTGAACTTGGCCCTGAACATGGTCACTTATTTTCCTGGTCTAGCACAGTGTCTGACACACAGTAGACAAATCATATTTGTTGAATGAGTGAATGATTATCTGGATTCCTTGGGTTTGATTCTTAGCCATCCCATTGCTCGTTCAGGGCGGCCAGTGTTACTGCCTTAGGAGCCACATGTTAACACTGTCCTACAAAAGTTCCGTGTTGGTATAAGGAGCTGTTTTTTTTTATGTTCCATATTAGTCTCTTTTGAGAACTTACTTTTATTATACGTAAAGTCATGCCCGCCCTCCAAAATTTAGAAGAATACAAATAAGTGTAATCATAACATCGAAGGCCACCACCCATCTGTCAGTTTGTTGTACTGTGGTGGCTTGCAAGTTACTGTGATGCTGGAAGGTATGACACCAGTATTTCAAATACCAGCAGGGTCACCCATGGTGAACAGGTTTCAGCAGAGCTTCCAGACTAAGACAGAATAGGAAGAAAGTCCTGGCGATCTACTTCCAAAAATTAGCCACCTTATGGATCACAATGGAGTATTGTCCAATATAGTTCTGGAAGACGAGCCCCCTAGATTGGAAGGCACTTAAAATACACAGTGGCTGCAACAATGGACTCAAGCACACAGGAGGAGCATCAAGGTGCTTTGGTGTTTCTATTAGTGCAGGAGGAGGAACAACACGCGGAAGAAAATAACAATAACCAATAAGAAAGCTGAACTTTACTGAGCACTTACCATGTGCTACACACTGTTCTAAGCAGTAGTGTGCTGGTAGATGTTTACCAACAAGCTCTCTGGGGAACGAAAGACACCCTGATTTGCAGCATTTGTTCTATGTCAATGGTGAAATGTTGTTGTTAGGTGCTGTCAGTCAGTTCTGACTCATAGCGACCCTATGTACAACTGAACAAAACACTGCCCGGTCCTGCACCGTCCTCACAATCGTTTCTATGTTTGAGCCCATTGTTGCAGCCACAGTGTCAGTCTATTTTGTTGAGGGTCTTCTTCTCTTTTGCTGACCCTCTACTTTACCAAGTATGATGTCCTTCTACAGGGACTGGTCCCTCCTGATAACGTGTCCAAAGTGTGTAAGATGAAGGCTCGCCATCCTTGCTTCTAAGGAGCATTCTGGCTGTACTTCTTCCAGGACAGATTTGTTCATTCTTCTGGCAGTCCATGGTATATTCAATATTCTTCACCAACTCCATAATTCAAAGGCATCAATTCTTCTCCTGTCTTACTTATTCATTGTCCAGCTTTCGCCTGCATATGAGGCAATTGAAATCACCATGGTTTGGGTCAGGTGCACCTTAGTCTTCAAAGTGATATCTTTGCTTTTTAGCACTTTAAAGAGGCCTTTTGCAGCACATTTGCCCAATGCAATTGTTGTTTGAGTTTTTGACTGTGGCTTCTATGGGTGTTGATTGTGCATCCAAGTAAAACGAAGTCCTTGACAATTTCAATATTTTCTCTGTTTATCGTGATGTTGATGAGGATTTTTGTTTTCTTTATGTTGAGGTGTAATCTACACTGAAGGCTGTGGTCTTTGATCTTCATCAGTAAGTGCTTCAAGTCCTCTTCACTTTCAGCAAGCAATGTTGTGTCATCTGCATATTGCAGGTTATTAATGAGTTTTCCTGCAATCCTGATGTCACGTTCTTTTTCATATAATCCAGCTTCTCGGATTATTTGCTCAGCATATAGATTGAATAAGTATGACAAAAGGATACAACCATGACACACACCTTTCCTGATTTTAAATCACGCAGTATCCCCTTGTTCTATTCGAACCGCTACCTCTTGGTCTATGAAGATGTTCCTCACGAGCACAATTAAATGTTCTGGAATTCCTATTTTTTGCAATTGTTTCCATAATTTGTTATGATCCACACAATCCAGTGGTGAAATACTCGTGGCCAATTCCAAGCTACCAACGTTTATATCCTTGAATGCAGAGTTGTGAAGAGTTGCGCACAGTCAGCTCCAGCCAGCACTGCATGTAATCCTTAAGGAGTCCTAGTGGCACAACGGTTAAGTGCCCGGCTGCTAACCGAAAGGTCAGCAGTTCAAACCCACCCAGCAGTTCCACAGGAGAAAGACCAGGTGATCTGTTCCTGTAAATATTATAATCTAGAAAACCCTATGGGGCAGTTCTACTGTGTCACATGGACTTGCTATGAGTTGAAAGTCAACTCGGTGGTGCTTAACAACAACACATCCCTATATGTAGGTGCTGTTATTATCCATTTTAGAGGTGGGAAATCTGAGGCATAGAGACATTAAAACACTTTGCCCAAGAGCTAGCGGATGGCAGAGCTTGGATTTGAACCTGGGTAGTTGAGCACCAGAGCCTATGCTCTTAACCACTGTGCTTCATCATTTCTCAGTTGGCTTATGATAAAGACATTGCTAATCCCTGTCAAAAAGAAATATCCTGGGATGACTAGCCCTTTTAGCCAGTGGTTTACAAATGTTCTTGGGATTGTTTTGTTTTGTTCTATTTCGCTTTTATTTTTATTTTTTTTTTTAATTGTACTTCAGGTGAAGGCTTACAGAACAAATAGTTTCTCATGAAACAGTAGTACACATATTGTTTTATGACATTGGTTAACAACCCCACAACATGTCAACCCTCTAACTTCTCAACCTTTTTTTTTTGGCGAAAATACACATAGCCAAAGATACACCATTTCAAAAATTTCTACCTGCACGGTTCAGTGACATTGACTACGCTCTTCCAATTGTGCTGTTATTCTCACTTAAGATGAAGGCTTATAGAACAAAATAGTTTCTCATTTAACAGTTACTACACATGTTGCCCTATGACAATGGTTAACAATCTCACAACACATCAACAATATCCTTACTCAACCTTGGGTTCCTTATCACCAGCTTCCTTGTCCCCTTCTGCCTTCTGGCCCTTGTCACTGGACTACTGTACCTCATGAGTCCCATTTGGTTTTACAGGGCTGTCCACTCCCAGGCTGAACGGTGAACCTCGGAGATAACTTCACCACTGAGCTAAAAGGGTGTCTGGGGGCCATACTCTCGGGGTGTTTTGCTTTTATTTTAAGCAGCACAACTTGTTTGTTGTTTTATTTTCCAGTTAGAATCTTATATGGCACCTCAAAATACAAAACAGATAAAGGCATATCTTCAGGCTGTGTTGCAAAGGTGAGTAGGGGGGTCCAAAGCCCTACTTTCTTGTCCTTCTTCTTGCTCCTCTCCTCCCACCAAGGCAGCTTCTGAAATAACTCTGCAGAACCCTAGAATAGACATTGAGCCCTATGCCACCAAGTTGTTAGCAGCTGTTAAATCAGCCTGACTCATGGCCACCCCATATACAACAGGACGAAACACTGCTCGGTTCTGTGCCATCACCATGACCAGTTGTGAATCAGACTGTTGTGATCCAGAGAGTTTTCAATGGCTGATTTTAGGAAGTAGATAGCCGGGCCTTTCTTCCTAATCCATCTTAGTCTGGGAGTTCTGCTGAATCCTGATCGGCATCAAGCCTCCAGTGACAGATGAGTTGTGGCTGCACATGAAGTCATCAGCCGGGAATAGAACTCAGGTCTTCTGCATGGAAGGCAAGAATTCTGCCACTGAAGCAAGTCATTACATTAGCAGTAGTAAATTGATCAATCTTTTTTGTTTGTTTGTTTTAATTTAATCTCTTCTCATTTTTCTTCAACCAGATGCAAGAAATGAGACTCAGGGATAGAGACCAGAGCAGAGGGAAAGAAGCAGTGAACAGAGTATTATCTAAGGAAGGCAGAGCTGAGCAAATCATTACAGTGAAGCATCTGGGTCAAGGTGAGCTGTACCAGATCACAGGCAAGAAGAGAAAAAAGGATGGGCCACTTGTGCCTAACACCTGCCTCAAGTGGTGTCCAAGCAAGAATAAAGAAGAAAATTATGAACTCAGTTAACATGTTGACACTTTCCTGCCCCGTACCTGAGAGCCTGAACAAACACACCTGTTCCAGCATCCCTTCTCATTGTCTATGCAACATCCGCTTTCACTTTGCAGGAGCCTAGAAAAAGGAACTGGGTTTTCTGGCCTTTGCTCAAGCTGTAACCTTTCAGGCTTACGTCAGGACAGGTGTCTGTTGAGCAGATGGGGTTGTGATATTTCCTGAGAAGAGGAAGTCTCTGGCCAGAACAACAAGCAGCACCACCCCTGAGGTCAGAGTCAGGTGTGAACACTGTGCCGTTGTCTGAGTCTCAAGGGCCCCTCAGTGCTCTGTACTTCAGCCTTTGTGCTGGCATGAAGGGGACAAAAGCTGTGGGCTGATCCACATTTGGGTCAGAGGACTATTTGAATTTAGGTGATGGGGAGAGAGATTGAGAGGATTAAAATAGACTAAGACACTGACAAGTACTTAGGCTGGTACAGGTATACACACTTAGTAGAGATTCCCCAGATCCAGAAGCTGGTTCTCAGTTTGGCAGGTTCAGACAGCCGTTTTACCAAAGCACGTGCATTGATCTGGGTTTGTCAATTTCCTGGATAACTTCCATCTGCCTTTAAGACATTTTCCATCCTATTTCACCCCCTCTGTGCTCCAGGAAGCTGGCCTGTATGGTCTACATCAAGAGGGTCTCTGACACTCTGGCTTCCAGTTGGCTTTTGCCCACTGGAGGCACTGGCAGGACATCATAGTATGGTAAAAAAGTGAGGTCAGGGTGTTTATTTCCCCTGGACCTTCCAGGTTAGCCATGTCCCTCTGCTGAAGTCCCAGGCTACAATCCGGCATCCCTCTTCCACACAGATGCCCGCTCTGGGTTCCAGCAACTGCTCCTTCCCTTTGTCCCTTCAAGCCTAGGGGTGGCATGAGTTTCCCGCACTGTTATTTGCCTAGGATGTTGCATTATCCCTTGTAAATATCTGGTTTGCCTGTGCCATGTGTTTACTGTCACAACCTAATATTCGGTCAACATCTGCCAAACTGAAGGCTTTGAAATTAAGATCAGAATAACTGTCCCCAAAGCAAGTTTGTCCACTGCCTGTGATTTTATCCTTTTACTTTATTAGTTTGGATTGCAAACAGAATGCTCAAAAGCTCTTAATTTTGAACTATATACTACTGTGTACTACACCTGCAATTTGAATAAGCTGTCTTAAGATGAATGGTAGTACCTGGGTTATGTTGTTCTCGTTGTTAGCTGCCGTTGAGTCAGCCCCCAAATCATGGCACCACATTCACAAGAGAACAAGTCCTACGCCACTCCCATGGTCCGTTGCAGATCAGATCACTACGATCCATAGGGTTTTCATTGACTGATTTTCCAAAGTAGATTGCCAGGTCTTTCTTCCTAGTCTGTCTTAGTCTGGAAGCTCGGCTGAAATCTCCTCAGCATTATAGCAATACACAAGCCTCCACTGAAGGATGAGTGGTGCCTGCGCATGAGCTGCATTGGCCAAGAATCAAACTTGGATCTCTTGCATGGAAGGTGAGAATTCTACCACTGAACCATCAAGCCTTCACCTGGGTTATAACCTTGTTAAATATATATAGGTGTTACATATGCTTGCTTTTTCACTCAATTATATGAGAATATGAAACTAAAATTGTACTAAAACAGTAAGATATTAACCAAATATTGATAGGCTATAGTATGGTAACTCAGAGCACACACTTTAAAGTTAGACAGATGGAGACTCAAATCTACCACTTATTAAGTGTGCTGCCTTTGGACAGTTACTTAACCTCTCTAAGTCTTGATTTTCTCATCCCTAAAATTGTGATAATAAGTGTACCTTCTTGTTATGGTTGTGAAGGTTAAATGAGATAACGTACATAAAATACGAGTACAGTGAGCCCTGGGAAAATGTCAGTTATCATTATCAGTAAAATATTATTAAAATGATGATATGTTTTAATGTAAATTATCTCATAGGCTTGTTAAGAGAGTTAAATACAGTACATTAATATTTTTAAACTGCTTAGAGCAGTACTTGGAACATAGTTAAAAGCTTTGTAAGTGTAAATTAAAAAAGCCTAGCTTTTTCTGACCCATAGCATCCCATGTGTGTCAGACTAGAACTGTGCTCCATAGAGTTTTCAATGGCTGTGGCCTTTCAGAAGCAGATCGCCAGGACTTTCTTCCAAGGTGCTTCTGGGTGGATTTGAACTGCCAAGCTTTCGATTAATAGCCAAGCGCTTAACCATTTGCACCAGTATTATTTGATTCCTTTCTCCTTTCCTTTTAACAAATCTCAATCACTTTTCAAACTAACTTTGAATTTCCGTCCAAGCTTAAATAGAAAAGAATCTCCTAAAAGTCCTTCTAATTTCATCCTGAATTTTTTCTTGGAGTCAAAAAGCCTTTCTGAGCATATGCCCATTTGTTTTAATTTCTGATTTTTAAGCATCAGGTTGGCTTAGGATCAAAAGCTATTTTAAGCAAGTTTTCTTGAATATTTTATTTCTCAGACTGCTGCTATCCAACCTCTCACCTTTACCCTCACCAGCAACTTTAGTGGAGAAACAAGTAGTTAGCAAGAAATGGTCTGGGGGACCCTGAGCTACTTATTGTCTCTTAATTTAGGGATTTTTGCCCATTAATTTGGGATACAATTCAGGGTAGTGAGAGGATAAAGACTTTATTAGCAAAATAAGGCCAGGATTATTACCCTCAAGAAAGTGTTAAATTTATGATAATTGGGGAATGTGAATTTCTTATTTAGACTAGGTAAATGTTTTTATGACTAAATGAACCCTTAAATTCTTGAGATGCACTGAGTTATAGATACACCAAGAGTAAGGCACCCATGCCCCTCCCCACATCCTCAGGACCAGTGCTTGAACTGCCCCCCTATCTGGTAGGTCCCGTGCACTCTGACACCAAAGCCACGGTGTCATGGTGATTCTGTGACTCCCCCATGCTGACTCCCCCCTGCCCACCTCGGAGCAGCAGTATTGAGTGTATGAGTGAAGCCACTGATATCCTGGAAGGCTGAGAATGTGAAATTTGCTATTTACAAGAAAAAAACTTAGGGAGATTGAAATTTGGCTGTTTGTCTAGGGGAGGTGATGGATTCCAAAGGAAAAGAGAATTAGAAGGGGGAGTAGAAGGAGAAAGGGGTTAAAAGGAGAGGGCTAATGAAAATGAGAAAGAAGATACAAAGTTAGGAACAAGGGACTATCCCTGAGGGACACCCTCTGAAAGCCTAAGCAATAAGGTCCAAGCCTTTCTACATAGTTCCAACTCAATTGTCTTAGTCATCTAGTGCTGATATAACAGAAATACCACAAGTGGATGACTTTAACAAAGAGAAGTTTATTCTGTCACAGTCCAGTAGGCTACAAGTCCAAATTCAGGGCATCAGCTCCAGGGGAAGGCTTTCTGTCGGCTCTGGAGGAAGGTCCGTGTCATCAATCTTCCCTTGGTCTGGGAGCTTCTCTGGGCAGGAACCTTAGGTCCAAAGGACGTGCTCTGTTCCTGGCACTGCTTTCTTGGTAGTATGAGGTTCCTGTGTGTCTCTGCTCGCTTCTCTCTTTTATATCTCAGAAGAGATTGGCTTAAGACACTATCTAACCTTGTAGTCCTCATCAGTATAACTGCCACTAATCCATCTTATTACATTGTAGTGATAGAGTTTACAACACGTAAGGAAATCACATTAGATTACAAAATGGTTCACGATCATACAATACTGGGAATCATGACCTAGCCAAGTTGACAGAAATTTTTGGGGTACACAATTCAATCCATGACACTCCACCCTTCGACCCCCCCCCCAGAATTTATGTCCTTGCCACGTGTAAAATATATTCACCCCATCATATTAGCAAAAGTCTTAAATTGACTCCAAGTCCAAAATCCAAAAATTCTCTTCATCTGTGAAATCTAGAATACAAGTTATCTGCTTCCAAAGGTACAATGGCAGAACAGGCACAAGCTAGATATTTCCATTACAAATGGGAAAAACTGGAGGAAAAGAGGGGATAACAGGCACCAAGCAAGTCAGCAGAACACGTTACATTAGCCCTCAAGGCTTGAAAATAATCCTCTGTTCTCTGAAGACCATTCACACAATAGCCCTGCCCTCCAGTCTCTAGGTATTGGCCACAGTCTCCGGATTCTGAGTGGAGGCCCCTCGGCCCTGGGCTTTAGCTCTGCCTTCCAGGCCCACTGGGACGACAACTCTGCTCCCTCGGCTTTAGGCGCACCATTCTCCTAGTCCATCTGAGTGGTGACTCCACCCTTAGAAATACCAGAGACCATGATGGCTCCACCCTTTGAAACCCCAGAGGTCATGGCCATAGCTTTTGAGACTGAGGCAGCTCAGCTTCTTGTATTCCTTGTCTCTTCAGCTTCTGCTTCCTGTGGACTCTCGGCCCTCGGACCTCACGCCCACATCTGCCCTACTGGAGCAAGTGTTCCAAAACTAGCTCCACCGACAAGTGCCTGGAGGCGCCCTACTCCTCCAGGAAGCCTCCTTCACACAGGCACTCAGCTCTCTCGCTCCATGGGTCAGCAAGCCTAGCTCCACTGATCAGTGCCTGGAGGCACCCCACTTCGCCAGGAAGCCTCCTGCACACAGGCAGTCAGCTCTCTCACTCTGTGGGTCAGCTCCATCACTGTCCGGTGCTGGTCTCCTGGTTCTGCTGCTGCCACTTCTCTGCTGCTTCCAGTTTTCTGCTGCTGCTGGTCCTCTGCTGCTGCCACTTCTCTGCTGCTTCCAGTTTTCTGCTGCTGCTGGTCCTCTGCTGCTGCCACTCCCCTATCCATTCTCAGTTTCAAAACTGCTTCCACATTTTAGGTATCTGTTAGAGCAGCACCCTACTCCCAGTAGGGTGTCTGTCTTAGTCATCTAGTGCTGCTATAACAGAAATACCACTAGTGGATGGCTTTTAACAAAGAGAAGTTTATTCTCTCACAGTCCAGTAGGCTACAAGTCCAAATTCATGGTGTCAGCTCCAGGGGAACGCTTTCTCTGTTGGCTCTGGAGGAAAGTCCGTGTCATCAATCTTCCCTTGGTCTGGGAGCTTCTCTGCTCAATAACCTCAGGTCCAAAGGATGCTCTCTGCTCCTGGCACTGCTTTCTTGGTGGTATGAGGTTCCCATGTGTCTCTGCTCACTTCTCTTTTTTATATCTCAAGAGAGATTGGCTTAAGACACTATCTAATCTTGTAGACCTCATCAGTATAACTGCCACTAATCCATTTTATTACATCATAGTGATAGCGTTTACAACACATAAGGAAATCACATCGGATTACAAAATGATACACAATCATACAATACTGGGAATCATGACCTAGCCAAGTTGACAGATATTTTTGGGAGACACAATTCAATCCATGACACCAACATATACATAGTACAAATGAACAAATTATCTAGAAAAGGCACAATGCTTGATCTCCCATTGTCTCCCTCTCCCTGTATTACTCGGGAGTCTTTTGAATGTAACTGACAGAAACAAAAACAAGCTTAAGTGTCAGAGAGACTATATTGGCTTATGTAACCAAGTTCAAGAGGTGAATCTAACTTCAGGCACAGCTGGATCTGGAGATTCAAATTACAACATAAGGACTGTGTTTTTTGTTTTTTGTTTTTTGTTTTTTTTTTTTGTTTTGTTTTTTTGCCACCTCTTGATTCTGTAGGCAATTAGTTCTGTTGTCTCCAGGCAGATTTTCTCCATGTGACAGCAAAGATGATTACCAGTTGTCCCTGGCTTATATCATCCTTAAAGGCAACAATCCTAGAGAAAAGAGACTTTTCTCCCACCAACGTATCAGTCAGTTCTGTCTCCGAGGAGGACCCTGCAGAGGTCACATGCCCATCTTTGTGTATCCAGGAGGATGGGGTATTCTAATTGGTCAGCTTGAGACATATGCCCACAATAATCATGTGGTGTGGGGAAAGGGCATTTCCCAGAGGGAAGGCTTAGAGGACAGAAAACAAATAGCAGCTGCCCACCACAGCTCCCAACTCCATTTTGCTTGAAGATTTTTCTAAAGTCTCCAATATAAATCTGTCTTAAAGTTTCATGGAGTTTGGTATGTATTCAGTTTGGGAAAAGGAGGGCAGGGAGGTTGGTGGCATCTAGGGCAGGTTTGACTCATCCCCTCTGACTGATCTCTCTCAGGACTGTACTTCATGGTAGACTATTGAGTGATGAGGGCTTACAGATGATGACTTAGATTAAAAAATTGGAGAGTCATTCCATGCACCTCCTCCCCAACAGAGTCTCCCACTTCAGATAGTAACTAAAGACATGCCCGTCTGGCAGAAAAAGAATGGGTCTTGGCCCAGATTACATCATGTACATCAGCCAATTAATCTTTCATACTCTCAGTTCCCCGATCTACTTTCTCTCTCCTCTGGGGAAAAGTTAAAAAGGCAGAGAGAAAATAGATCGCAGCCATATTATCCATAATTCCTGTGTGATAACTCTATGCTGCCCCCTTTCTTTTTAGTGAGGAGGTTTTCTAACAGCTAGCTTTTTAAACTCATCTACTACGGAGTTTCAACTTAATGGCCAATTTTTGCTTATTAACCTTTGCAGGCCCCCTAAAGTTTCAGCCATTTAAACAAAACACAATAGAATTTTCCAAAGAAATGAAAAGTCATTTCTCTATATAGCTTCTCACATCAAATACATTTGCATATATGGGCCATGTGAAAAACAAAAACTAATGAACTTATGAATGAGATTCTCCCTTACTTACTCTCAAAATCCTCCCACCCCCGCCCCACCCTTACATCGCTGCTCTTTCAAAACCCAAATCTGAAATTATTCCCTTTAGGAAGTCTTCCTTGATTAATCACCCCAGCTCTAATTATAGATATTTTTTCATCATATAAACAATAATTGTGGATACAGTTCCAATTAGGTTTACCTTCATCTCTTGTTCACAAGAGTTTTAAATGTTCATGAGACTTGGGATGTGAACATGTCTCTTGCTTCCCCTACTAGGTGATGACTCTAGCGCAGGGATCTTCTCTTGTTTCTTTATAAACCTCCCTTCTCTCTCCCTTCATTCCCAGGACTGCTTTAAGCAATGACAAAAGAGGAACTCATTCGCTGGTGTAGTAAAAGAATCTGGGTTCTGCAAATTGTGA